AGCAAAAGGGGTGAGAGACAGAGAGAGAGAGAGATAGTGAGAGTGAGAAAGAGAGGGGAGGGGGATGAAAAGTGCTGATGTCAATAGCGGTTTCAAAACCTAGTGAGTGTACATACACAGCATTTTGAGGCATCACAGGCACATTCCTGAGACAGAGGCAGTTGAAAACAGCAGGTAACAATTATGCTGTCTTGTGAAACATTCTGAGACAAAATCATACCCTTAGCAGCTCAATTAAAAATTTCATGAAATTAAAACAACAGAACAATGCGGATACTAAACATTACTTATATAAGTAGAGTTTTTGTCTACTTTTTTTTCAGAAAGACGTTTCATCAACTGAACAATCAGTGTGTTATTAAACAAAAGTACAATCTGAAAAGTACGATCTGATGTGGCTTCTTGTCACAGAATGAGGCGGAAAATATGTTCCATAGGCTACTTTAAAAAGAATACATCGATTAGCAATGGATTATAAATATACTTCATTATTATGAAAATACCAGCGATGGCTTGAATAACACAGATAAACTATATTGTCGCAGTCGAGTGTTAATTGTCTTTGTTTATCATTCAAAACGTTTATATGTTCTGTTTACTCAGTTACAGCTATAATAGCATGTCTTTGTCCATATAAGGGATTTCCTGGTGGGTCATGAGTTCCCTACTTCTGTGACTGGATATGTGGATTTTCTGTGTGAGGGCGCCCTCTGGCGTCCAGTATGAATGAAACAGACATCGTATAGTGCTAATGGCCAATCCATCATTTTTTGGGGAATTTTTATTTATTTTTTAGTAAGTATCGGTTCAGGCACCATTTAGGCACCGGAACGTTTTAAAAGTATTGATTTGGCACCGGTATCGAAAAAAACCCAAACGATACCCAACCCTAGAGAGTAGCCGTAAGAAAGGAAAAGATTACCATCCATCCACTATGCCCTGTCCTCGATTAGGTCATCCCGTTCAATATTTAACCAGTCACAGTCAGTGAGTGTGATGAGGCCTGCTACATCAGAACAGATGTCTTTTCAAAATCATTTAGCATTCTGCTGTGATGGGAGGATGAACTCCTGAACTGACACAAAAAAGGAGTGAAGGAGGAGTGAAAATCAATGTCACTCACAATGGCGCACACAGGTAATGGAAACATCATTCACTCGTCCAATCAGACGCCTCGCCTGAGCAGAAAAGAAAGTATGGGTATAAATTACGCCCCCTACATATCCTTGGTGTTCATGCCCCGTACTAACGCTCCCTCGTCTCTCTTCCATGGTGAGGAGGAAGAGAGAGAATGACAGTACAAATCAAACGCCAGCCAAGCAAAGGATGAGCAACCTCACCCACACAATCACAAAACTCATCAAGCTCATCATTACCAACCACACACATACAGAAAACACACATATATCTGCTGTTGCAAAACTGTGATCATATCAACCTACTGACAACTGAATATCTATATAACATTAAAACTAAACTTAGAACTGTCTAACTGGATAAAACCGTCTCAACTCGACAAGTAAAACAGCAAACAGGATGATGCATTAAACAGAGCATTTATCAAAATGTCATCAGCATTCAGCTTAAATCACTATGATTGATGTGCTTAATCCATCACTACAAAGAATCCCAGATATCAAGCTGAACTCTGAAGAAAACAATAGTAGAAATTATTTATAAAAAACACCATGTGTGATGTTTTTTTTTTATCTTTTGTGAAGTCTGAGTGGATTCCCACTCAGAAATGTTGGAGTACAACATCTCATTCTCATGACATAAAGAGACCTCATAAGTCAGCTAACAGAATCAAACATTGGCAGGTACAATCGTCACCTTTGTGGGCGCAGGTTAAATGCTCAATTTGACTCTGATGGGATGAAAAGCTACCTTCCCTCGATCACATCAGTCCAATTTTTGGTTTATAAAATGTAAATCGGTTGATAGGACCTAAAAGAAATTTTAAAAAATCTGTTTGTTTTGTCTCCAGCTGGTTGCATCTCAGGCCTCCAGAGAGCTGTCTCTCTATATAGCACAGACAACAAATTCAATAATTATTTGCATGTTATGGCCATTGTCACTTTGTAACATTGTTATTATGTTTGATATTATATATGTAAACAGATATATTCTTTACAATAACGATAATATTAGTTACGCCATTAGGTAAAAAGAATACACACATACACACACGCAGTATCACTGTGTGTGTGTGTGTGTGTGTGTGTGTGTGTGTGTGTTTAATGCTAATGTATGATACCTAATGCATTAACTACAGTTTACGAATTGAATCTTATTATAAAAACCAATGCCAACAATTTTAACCATAATAATAGTGGCTAATGCCAATATGGTCATCAATTTACTGTGCATCTCTTGGCCAAAATTAACAATAAGAAGCAACAATCTTAGAATGAGGCCATTTTCTTAGCCTCTAAGGAAAAGAAGAAAAGAAGAAACTGACATAAATGGTAAAATAACTTCCAATGTGGGCCAATATCAGCCTTGACTGCATCTGAATATCAACATCCAGACCTTCCAACAGGGAATAGCTGAGAGGGACCTGTGGGGATCCTAGTTATGATAAAATACCATATGTCCATTTTCATTAGGGAATTGTCACGGCCTTCTCTCGTTTCTTATTGCAAAGCATGGAAAATAGAAGTTCACGGTAATGAGGCTACATGGACCAGTCATGAGAAATTCCTCTATATTCCCTTGCCACTGTAAAATACTCATCAAGGCCCTCACAACCTAAAATACAGGCTAATCTAGCCTTAATTTAAAAAAAAGACTGAGTGTCTAAATGTTGTACATTTCCACTTGACTGAGCATTTGCACTCTATGAACTTTCTTAGCAATTAATCAACATTTACTAAAGTCTTTGTTACCTATCCTTATCTCGGCTTTATTCATTCCACAATGTGACCTATAAAAATACGACACTGCAGGTTTTCATCAGCGTACACAAATAAAACAACTTTGTGTCATACTATAGCCAGACAATGGCAAAAACACAAATTAAAAAAAGACTGAAATGTTTGGAGAAGTTTTAACCTTGCGCAGGAACAAATGATAAGGCGCCAGGTGTGAGTAATGTTCAGGCTACACTCTCCACGCAAGGTCAGCCATTGCTCTCCGATTGTGGATCATTCCGCCTGTGACATTCACGGCCATAACGAACAGCTGTATGTGCCAGAACGACGTTTGGGTGCTAATAGAAATCATGACATTTCATGAATTATGCCAATAAAGAATGCAGCGCTGATAAAAACAGTTTAACACCGACTCTCCTGCTCAAACAGGCTCTCGTCTTTCCCTCTCTCCCCTCCTTCATCACCACAGATGAGGTTTATTTTTTCCGTCCACAGTCTTTGAAATTGGACACACTGATCAGTGTGGTCTGTCAAATTAACTTTAACCACCTGTAATAACTTTATCTGCACGCACACACTGGGCTTTCTAACCCACTTATCTATTGGATTTTTTGTGATTGGAATTTTAAAAAAAAATTTTTAGATGAAAAGGACACTGGACTAAATGAGTGTCCTAAAGCAACGCACTCATGGTGCTTCTAGGGTCACATTTTCAGACGAATTAGACAATGTCTTGTTAACCTCCTGGGGTCGACGGTGGCGCCGGCTCCACCACGTGCATGTTTTACTGATAAGAGCAAAAAGAACTAAATCAATATATTGTTTTCTGTGAATGAGTAAGATGATTTTCACATAATTTTGAAGCAAAAACTCTAGACTTCAAGATCAGTTCTCAAAAGTCTTGTGATCGAATGTTCTGTATGTGTTTTATGGCCTTATTTCAGTGACTTTCAAATTGTAGTTTTTCACTAAGCACGCATAAACGTTGTTTTCTCAAAAACACAATCACGTACATACATGCTGCTCACATATTATTGTAGCCCAGTTTGTGCTGATTACAGTGTTATTAAACTTTAGACATTCAAATGTTTGTAAGCAACTGAAAAAAAGCACAAATGTCAGGGCATGTCAAAACTTTTCCAGGCCCCAAAACACCCTCAGAGTTAGTGCCCAGATTACAAAGCAAATCATTTTGGACCCCCGACCATTGCATAGCTAAAAAAACTAAACTTTGTTTAGTTACTTATTTGAAATTTGCAGGCTTCGATGTATTCTTACAATTTTTGAAAGATCAAGAAAAAAACTATTTAAAAAACTATAAAAACTATAAAAGCCACAATAAAACAAAATAAAATATTTCCAAGGACAACAGAATAGAACAGTCGCAACTCCATAAGAATAAAATATTAATTTTCTCTCATATCAACCTTTTTCTCCTGTCATTGCACTTACAACCATTGCCTGCAGCATTGCGTCTCTCTGTGAACTGCATTTAAAACTATGCTATTAAATTAGAGTAGTTTAATGGTCACAAAAAAAGGAAAAAAGTAAAGCCTATTCAAAAAAAAAAACTATTCAAAAATTGTTCATCATCTTCACCCTCCTGGAGAGGCCTCTCTGTCATGTTTGCGGTACAAATGCAGACAAACCACAGGAGAGCTCATCGCAAACGGCATCAAACAATTAAGAGGTAGGAGAGAAAACCTGGGGCGACATGGCAATCAGTAATACATATTAATGAATGCCAGCGTGCAATGCTGCTCTAGCTTGAAATCACAGGGCACGCCGCTGAGCTACACACCAACGGGCAAGTGTCAGAGGTCAGATGTGGCAGGTGGCTAGGCTGGATAGTTCAGTGTGTGTTTGAGTATTCAGCGAGTTATCAAGCTGGCTTATCAAGTTTGTGATGTGAGTAAGAGTTTGAGGATGCCTTCCAGAGGAAAAGTGTGTTTGTGTAACCTGAGCAGGTTTCTACAAAAACTGCAAAAATATCCTGCTAAATTACATGAGTCCGAGAGAAACAGGAAAACTCTGAAGCAAGAAAACTTGACTATCATTATATATGAAATTTAATGCTGTAAACTACAAAAAATACATATATAAATAAAAGTTCCTTTAAGTAAGTACCTGACTGGGTTGCTAGTAAGTGACACTCTGAGGGAGTCCAAACAGGCAAACAGTCTCTCATCGGTGGCACCACATTTCAGTTCACTCAGAAACTCCTGAGGAGCGATCTGACTGCTGCTCCTCAAACTACCCTGTCAGAGAAAAACAGAGAAAAAAAAACATATTAGATGCTTACATTGTCAAATCCTTTTGTAGATTTCGTTTGACCCCATTCAAGGAGATTGGAGCTTTAACTGCATAAGAAGAAGCTGCCCAGGGGCAGTAGCAAGATGGCTGCAAAGCAAACGTGCCTTAAAAGAGACTCAACTACACATTTACAAGATTGCGTCATTGTTTTTAAAACTTTAAAGCAACAACTTCAACATAAATTCACAATGAATGAGCAACAAATGCCTTTTTAATTATTCTTTGAAAAGAAAATATTTTTGTGACTTACAGGCAATTATTACCCTAATTTGCAAACTACTGAATATTGATCATATTCTTCAAACTTCTTTTATTACTTTGAAAGGCTTTCACATTTGGAGAAGCCAGCAAATAAACATGACAAAACGTGTGGTTGCCGCCTGTCAAATTTGAGATTAAGAGCTCCTACAATTTACAAACAAACTCCACAAAGAGTCCTGCCTGCCTTTAATTACTGACTTAACAAAACTGCAATTACTAGAAATTAGTTGGCAAAACTTGTACTAAAACAAATAAGACAAAAACAAAAAATAAAAGCAAATAACTATTGCACATTACAAAATGAACAAAGTTCGTCAGCGCCCTTATTCTAATAATAGATTTGTTCTACTTATTCCACGTCAAGGTAGAACACAATGATAGAAGATCAACAATAACAAAAACAAAAAAAAGTACCTCCCAATGACGTTTAATATCCTCTAACATAAATATCTAACAGAGATTGATATTTTTGTCTTCTATTTTTGAGCCAGTAGGCCGTTTATGATGAGAGTGCGTAATATGACAGATATGACAAAAATCACATAAGAAAACATTTACGCCCTTCCAATTTCTCATTGTTCGAGGTTCTCAAAGCCACTGCATGTTAATGAGGAAATTGATTATGTGTGATTTATCTTTCTGATTTCCTCTCTCTGAAGATGCGGAGGGTAAAAATTGCTTTTGCTTGCTTCCACACATTTTTACACATTTCAAGTTATCTTGCACACTGGGCTGGGCAATATACAGGTATTGAATATATGTGTGCAAGCTCACGGTTAGTAGTGGTGCAGAGTTAAAATAATTTAAGGCAAATACAATACTGTTGTTTCAAAAGCAAGATCAATCACAAAGAGTCCTTAGTGCAGGATAAACTGGGATGTTACAGTACATCAAGTACAGTCAAGATTTACATTTGCCTTTTTCTTTAAGTCATTGTAATTTTCTATACTGCCATTTTCACAGACAATTTCAGTAATGACCTTTGAGGGAACCCTGGAGGGAACATATAATTCATATACATTCATACTCATTCATACATGCATATTTAATTTTTACATTACAAAAGTGTTAACCGTTTCACCTCTAGTGCATGTTGGGCAGTGTGGTTTATGTGGTCGTGTGTGACTGTATTACTTATGTACAAACTGCAGCATCTGTGCTGTGTTTTTCCACAGAGGGGGTATCAAAATATATTTAAGACCTAAGGGAAAGTGTTGGCCACTTTGAATGTACAACCAAGAGCACATACACACAGACAGGATGAGAGGAATTCAGACTAGTCAAAAGGAGAGGAAGGGCAGAGAAAAATGGCTTGTTTTTGCAGAAAAGCTAGTTCATGCATTCATGACCTCTAGAAAAAAAAGTGTCTCACACAGCTCCGGGGGGTGAACAAAGGCCTCCTGTAGCGAATCGATGCGTTTTTGTAAGAAAAATATCCATATTCAAAACGTAATAATCACTTGAATCATCATCAGTGGATGAGCCCTGAAAGACAGCGGAGACCAGGACAACTAGATGAGCCCCAGATACAGATCCCCTGTAAAGACCTTGTCTCAGACGACCACCGGGACAAGACCACAGGAACCAGATGAGTCCTCTGCACAATGTGACATTGCTGCAGCCTGGAATTGAACTGCTGGTTTCGTCTGGTCAGAGGAGAACTGGCCCCCCGACTGAGCCTGGTTTCTCCCAAGGTTTTTTCTCCATTCTGTCACCGATGGAGTTTTGGTTCCTTGCCGCTGTCGCCTCTGACTTGCTTAGTTGGGGACACTTCATTTCCAGCGATATCGTTGACTTGATTGCAAATGATTGCAAAGATACTATTTAAACTGAACTGAGCTGGATGATGACATCACTGAATTGAATGATGAACTGTCTTTAACTGAAAAATGAGTGTTTACTATTGTCATTTTGCATTATTGACACACTATTTTCCTAATTAATGCTGTTCAGTTGCTTTGACACAATCTGTATTGTTAAAAGCACTATATAAATAAAGGTGACTTGACTTGACTTGTTTTTAACCGAGCCCTGCAGCATGCTGACCAGCATCAGGCAACTCACTCCAATCAGACAAGTAAGTGATCTATATGTGCATTCAGCTGTCAGTTTCTCTTGTGCTTCATATCTTATACACTCTGTTCTCTACATATACATTTTTTATTTTCTAACCAGGAATTGTTGATTCTTGCAGGCAGGACACAAACATGACCAGCGGGAGACCGACATGCAGCAGCAGCAGCAGGTCATTACACCACAGGATCAGCCCTCCTTATCCTACCCATGGTGCACAGGGCCTGTGGCCTGCTGCCCTGACTGTCCCCTCCGCAGGAGACGGAGGTCTTAATCATCACATACAAGAGATACAGCTGCTTCCACTGAAAGACTCTCCGCCCATCCCTTGTTCTCTCTCTTTACTATCCTGTCCTTCCTTTATAGTTCTCCCTTTATCACCATGGTGACTGCTTTTTGTAACTTGAGGGAAGCAAACATTGGCTTTTTTTGCTTTCCTTCCACTTGATAGCTAAACCTTCAGCAAAGCCAAGGCAAAATATCAACCCCACAACTATATCTGGGGTTTCAGAAGAGATTATGGCTGTTTAGATGTTGTTTTAAAAAATAATGAGAGCCAAAGGAAGAAAATCATTATTTTTCAAGTTTTCGTTTATCACTACAGAACCACCTTGTTTGGGATAATTCATACAAGAGTGTTTCTTTTAAAAACAGGATTTTGGTTTGTGTTCCGAGTAGTTTATCCCATTACTCCTGTTACATGTTAATTAAAAATAGTATTAAAAATCCTGTGGACAACAAATGATAAAAGTATAGGATAAGGGGGATGCTTGCTATGGTTGGGTATCGAAAACCAGTTCCATTTTAGAACCGGTTCCAAATTTCCAAGAACCGGGTGTTCGATAAGACGCGTGCATTTCGATTCTGCTTAACGATTGCTGCGTTTGCATTTTAATGTGATTAAAAACGATTTAAGTGTAGGAACGGAAAAAACTTGCGCCCTGTTTGCATGCAGCACACACGAAGCGCAAGCAGCACAGAGAACAGAGGTCGCGGTACAGGTTCCCGGTTTTTGTCCGTTCCATTCCGTGTATTTCCACTGTAGAAAAGGTTGTTCCGGGCCGAAACTGACTTCTTTCATATTTGTCGACCAATATGCAGAAAACTACATCAGTATATCATCATAAACACAGCCGTTTTGTCGTACGTGAACGTAAACAGATGAGAAAGAAAACACACATGTACAGTATTTTTAGATCTGCGTGCGTTCGGTGTTAAAGAGACAGCAGCCTAATAAATGCGCTGCCTGTCATTAATGTTAATCAAAGAACAAAAGAAAATCATTCACTGATCTTGACTGAATATATTTAATAACTTTAATTGATTAATCTATATTTTATTTATGAAAAGAAAACTATGCAGTGTTTTTAAACTTTTAATTACCATTTCTGTACCTGAAATTTTGTTGTATTCATTTATGATATTGCTAATTGATTTGTTTGTTCCTATCTTATTACCGACCGTTTACTTGTCTTTAACACTTCAATATTTGAAATTTATATTAATCTAGTTGTTTTTGCTGTGGTATTTTTTTTTTTAAAGCATAGGCAAAATTCCTCTTGCAGTGTTCTGTAGGCTGCTGATTTTTGCTCGTGTTATTCAGCTGCAACAGAATGCTTTGTAAAAAAGACAAAATAAATGTTTGACATCTAAATGTTTGACTTAATTTTCTTTTATATTGGATTTTTTATCTTATTAGAATCGAAACTAGGAATCGATAAGCAGAATCGGAATCGAAATCGGAATCGATAAAATTCAAACGATACACAACCCTAATGCTCGCTCAGGATCAAGCCTACTCTTTGAAACCCGCATTATCCAAACAAATCTTTAAACAAGAATATGGCTCGCAGCGGCAACATCAAACAACGAGAGTCTCGCATTAAGAAGCCAAGTCATGATCTCACAGCAGAAGCTCCAAACACCTGGTGGCGTCTTCTGTCAGGAATCACAGGAACGAAGGTAAACATCCTGGAGCTTGCCCTGGGTCACAGATCGACCTTTCTGCTTTGTGCTGAGCCCTCCAAGCCTGACAACAGGCCAATTACATCAACTCTGTGCAGGTTATGACATTAATAAACCATGAAGCTAAGTTTCCTTGGGTAATTGTAGCTATCACTCCCCTTAAGGTACCGTGAACCTGATTCTCATTAGTTAGTGGTGTCATTTAGCAGACAGTTTCATACAAAGTGATTTACAGTACACTAATTGACGAGACAGTCCCACTGAAACAACCAGGGCTAAGTGCCATGCTCAAGGGCAAAATAGTAATCGACGCAACATCAGCAACTTCTAGGTCCCTAGTGGGATCAAACCAGTAACTATTAAGCTAGCGCTACCATAATCTCAATGAAGTTTAGTGGTCTAGACCAGGGGTTTTCAACCATTACAGAACTAGGACATGCCCCACCCAGACTCACAGTCAACCCAGGAACCTCCAGTTTTTCAAATAAGCTAAATCAAATAAATATTTAAGATAAATAAATACATACATAAGAAAAATACATAAATATTTAAAATAAATAAATGCATAAATAGCGTAAAAACGTATCAAAAGGTCAAACAAATTAAAGAAAGAACTAAAAGAGCAAAAGAACTAAAGAAAGACAACGAACAAACAAATGAATTCGTGAACAAAAGAACAAATGAATGAAAGAGCAAAAGAATGTAAGAATTAAAGAAAGAACTAAAGTAAGAACAAAAGAAAGAACCAACAAACAACTCAACAAACAAATGACAAAGAACGAAAGAATGAACAAACATAAGAAAGAACAAAAAGAGTGAAAGAACTAAAAGAAATATGGTTGAAAACCCAGGGTCTATTCTCTAACTCTGTATGCACTGGCTTGGCTTGCATGAGATATCATTATCCAGAACAGTTAAATAGAAGATATTAAAGGGGTCATATGATGTTGCTAAAAAGAACATTATTTTGTGTATTTGGTGTAATGAAATGTGTTTATGAAAGATACTTCTGTCTTTTCTGTGCTTTCCGTAAGAGGCTCCAAATACTGCGTCCCAGCAACCCTCTTCCCAGTGAGTGGGTCGACCACCTGCCCAACTTTATACACAATCTCTGCGAGTTCATGGTTGACATGTTTGGATCTTTTCTCCGGCAAAGCCTTCAACAAAACAACATCCCCAACAGTGCACTGCTCCAAAGGATCGTGGGCAAAGTATGTCTTCCTCTTGTTGTAGTACTTGTATAAAAAAATACAAATAAAAAAAAAAGCATATAAATACAGGATCAGGTTAATTCTGTCTACAAACCAACTATTTTACAAATAATGCATCATTAGTTTACCGACATAAATGACTAATGCTTAAAGGGGTCATGTGATGCTGCTAAAAAGAACATTATTTTGTGTATTTGGTGTAATGAAATGTGTTTATGCGGTTTAAAGTTCAAAAACCATTATTTACCTGTGGTTTGGGTGAGGGTATGTATGTGATTTTATTATTATAAATCCTTTTGCCTGTTTTTCCTCTTTTTTTTTGGTGTT